AAGGAAAAAGCTTTGTAAGGATTGGTTGAAGGATACAGAGTACGGAGCCCAGAGCCTGGAGGAAACCCTGGATTTGCTCTCTAGAACCACATAAACTGGGCATGGTGGAACATCTCATAACCCAGGAACGTGGTTGGGACAGGGAGGAGTGGTTCAAAGTCATCCTTCTGAGATACACAGGAGCCTGTCTGAAGTGAGCAAGAACCAAGGACCTATGAATTACACATGTCAAAGCTTCACATACAATTTCCTGTGCATTCACGAATTTGGTAAAAATTTATGTTAGTAACTGCAGTAGCAGCAACATTTGCAGTGATTACTGCCGTAGCTAGTTTGTTGAGAGCATCCTTCATCTGCCAGGTGCCAGGCTAGGTGGTTCACTTGCGTTTCTCCTGCCTAACTCCTAGGAGTTAGAGTTCATACTCCTCATTTTATAAACAATTGGAAACTCTGGTGCAGCAACGCTACCCCGTTTACACAGTTATATGGTTGATAACACAATACCAATATCACCAGCTCTGTTTGACTCCAAAGTATAGAAGTTTTTGTTTGTTTTGTTCCCCAGATTCTGTTTCTACTTGAGAAGAAATTTTAAAATGAAATCATACTTAAATTTCTCTTTTCAAAGGAACACATGAATGATACCAGGTTTTTGAAATAGATTCTCTTGGCAATATTTGGATTTAAATATTCTATTGAATTTTATTCAATTGGAAGCCAAGTTTTAAAAACTATTCTTTGATGGATGTATATTTATTCTGAAGTAGTCATGAAAAGAAAGATTATTCAATAATTGCCTGCCACACATACTACTAATAAATACAATTTTGTTGTTTTGAAGATAGTGTCTCCCTGTGTAGCCATGGCAGGCCTGAAATTTACTCTGTAGACTCACAGAGATCTGTTTGCCTCTGCCTCCCCAGTGTAGATATCAAAGGCATGCGCCCAGAAGACCAACATAAATGAAAATTCCCTCTACTGACAAAGATGGTAATTGTATTGATTTAGAAACTTACTACAGAAGAAGTAGATGTTATATATTTGTCTGTATTGAGAGTATTTGAGTAGGATCTATACTCTATAATAAAACTTAACCAACTACAATTGTGCCTGTGTCTGTGTGAACATGTGCCCCCCTCCCTGAGTGTATGTGTATGTGTGTGTATGTGTGTGAGTGTATGAGTGTGTGTGTACGTGTGTGTGAGTAAGTGTATGAGTGTGTGTGTGTGTGTTTGCGAGCATGTCTCTGTCTTCACCAGTGTGTGGTGGCTGGAGATTGATGCTAGCTGTCCTCCTTAGATGCTTTCCATGTTCTTCACTGTGTCCAAGGCCATCCTTGGTGACATGGTGATTGTAGCTTGTTTCAAAAGAAAAAGAAACTATAATTTAAGACTATAAATAAGGATCTCTATTCAAATTTAAACACAATTTTAAAAATTCTAAGGTGAGATTTTTGACAGATGGTAAAAAGAGCAGCTAGTTGCCTTAGAAATGCAGTTTACAGGAACTCTTCCACAAAATGCACTTAAATGCTTGCCAGAAAGCATCTCAAATCACTTCTAAGCTTAAATCCCAACTTCTCTGAGAGACATATCAATATTTTTTCTTTTTGGATAGATTTATGTATTTTTTTTTAAGCAGTTTTTAAGTTCAGAGCAACCCTGAGGGAAAAGCACACACACTGCTCATCTCCCCAACCTTAACTGTCCTGAAAACAGGGCTGTATGTCTGCTACAATAGATTAACTTACATCTACCTGAGGATCAACCCAGTACCTTGTGCATGTTGGCCAAGCACCTACCAGCCCTAGAGAGTTTGCTATTATACAAGCTTGGGGTTTGAGCAAAGCATAGTTATAGCAGTATCAGACCGTGTCTCCCTCCCTGCCCCACCCATTCACTCACCTCTCCCTCCCCACGAATACCTGACAGCCTCTGGTGGTTTTACTGTCTGTGGCATTATTAGTGGAGACAGACTTGTCTCAAAAGCTCCGTGTAGCTGAAGGTGGATAGCCTTGAACTTATGATCCTCTTGCTTCATTTCCCAGGTGCTGGGATTCCAGGCACGCATCATTACACTCAGTTTTACGAGCTGTGGGACAGGAGGTCAGTCTCAGGAACTGCCCAACAGAATGTCACTGGGACCTGGCTGTAGGCTGGGCTGGCTGGCTAGTGAGCCCAAGGATCCTCCTGTTTCTGTCTTCCCAACACTAGGGTTACAGGTATGTGCCACCATGCCCAGCTTTTTGTGTGGTGCTGGGGTTTGAACTCAAGTCTTCATGCTTATCTTGCATATCAAGCTCTTCCTTGACGGAGCCATCCCCACAGCCCTTATTGCTGTTCTCTGAGACAGGGTCTCATGTATCCCAAGCTGACATCCAACTAGATGTACCCTGCTGAAGAAGATGCAGGCTTCCCATTCTTCCATTCCCCCTCTGCTCTGATTATGGGTGAGTACCACCACAGGCTGAACGATGGAGTGTTTTGAAGATCCTTCTACATTTCAGAAGTAGAGTTTGGATTCCTACAGAAGATAAAAGGATAAGGACTTATCAGGCTTGTGGGTGTGGCGGTGCCATTTTACTGTGATGGTCAAGACCGGAGGGGGTAGGTGGGTGGGAACCAAGGCTCATGGAGAACAGACACAATGAAACTAAGGAGCAATAAAAATGTAGGAGTTTGCTACATTTTGTTCTCAGTTAACCAAGCTCATCTCTTTCCCAAAGTAGGCACCCCCAAAACCAAACCAAACCAAACCAAACCAAAAACCCCTTTTGATTGAAGTCTTACAGGCTTATAGAACGGAGTGGACTGAAACTCAGACTTTACTGTTTTCAAGCTTTTGTATGTGTTAGACCTTTGCCAGACTTTCTACAGTCTATACACTCTTTCCTAAGGCAGCCTATAGAGTAGTTCCAGCTTTATCTTCTTGTTACAGCTGAGAGGTGATGGGTGAGGGACAGCTCTTACCAAGTGAACAGGTACTGCAGTCAGGGATAAGTCAGGTCTCAAATGCCATTAGGGGACTTTGCTCTCTGGTTTTGTTCAGCTTGTTATGTGCCATCCAACAGAACTGTGTCAGCGAGGGACCAGATCTTACATTTAAAACTTAATAAATACATGTGCTTAGTGGCTAACATTTCTGCCAGTATGACTCAATTAATGGCTTTCAAACCGGGCAGCACACATCCCAGGAAGGGATGAGAATACACAGACTGATGGAAGAAAACATAGCATTCCATATATGTAAACCATTATTTGGTATGTTTTATTTAATACTTTAAAATGAGGTAAATTGTAATAGATGTGTGCACACACACACAGTATACGTATGTTTAATAATTTCATCATACTTAGCTGGCACTCAGCAAGTGCTTGCATATCAGTTCCTTTAATGACTCATTGAGGTACGTTCTTTTACTACCCCTATTGTACATATGAAGGAATTAAGGGCAACTGAGTATGTCCAAGGACACAGGTATTATAGTTAGCAGCAGGCCAAGACTTTGAGTGTAGATATTCTGGCTTGCATCTGTGTACTTTAAGTTAAATAAGTGTTTTGGTAGGGAGGGCAACGTTTGTATGGATGACATGAGCAACCAAAAATGTTTGCTGTTTAATGCTGTAGAATGGGCCCTACAGACAAAGCAGTTCCCAATCTGCAAATTTGAAGGGCTCTTAGATCCTGCGTAGCCTAACACATGTAAAGATTGTGTGTGCATGATTGGAACCCTGTAACTATCCCTAGTGTCACAACTGGTCTCCTTTGCCAATTTTGTTGCAGAGGGGAGGGTGGGGAGAACGTAAAAAAAAAAAAAAAAAAAAAAAAAAAAAAAATCCAGACATAAGGGGAGGAGGAAAACCAACAGAACCCAAACCTGCTCATCCACTTTCACCCCTGGCTCACTTGTGGATAGTGGTTGGTGGACGCGTTAATTCAACAAAAACTAGAGCAGTGGTTCTCAGCCTTCCTAATGCTGCCCTTCAATACAGCTCCTCATGTGTGCTGACTCCCGACCACAACATTTTTGCTGCCATTTTACAACTGTAATTTTGCTACTGTTATGATTCGTATTTTAAGTACTTGTTTTTCCCGTTGGTTTTAGGCGATTCCTTTGAAAGGGTCGTTGGATCTCAAAGGGGTCGAGACCCACGAGTTGAGAAAACGCTGAAATAGAGGTTCTTAAAAAGACACCCTGAAATAAAATTTACTCTAACCCATCGTCTACCCCTCCCTGTTTAAAGGTAGGCTTTAATGGCATCCCCACCCCTCCTGCTTAGCTACTTCTCTCTCTCCACGGCGCCTAGCACACGCTCGAGGGCTCCTCTCACCAAGGTTATCTAGGTACTCGAAGCAGGTAGCGGAGCCCATGCGTGGCCAGGGAACTTTCGAGAAGAGCGTAGCTCTAGGGCATGCGGTTACAAGGAAGTGTGCGGGGCCAGGGTGACGGTCGGCTCGAGGGGGCAGGCGTCGGGCGATAGCGATCACAGGTGCTCGGCAGCATGGCCGAGCCAGGCGGGGCCGGCGGACGCATTAGGGTGGCGAGAGGCAGAGCCTTCCTTTCCTGTTCCTTAGGGAGGCGTGGAGGCGGCTTCCGTCCATTCTTCCCGACAACTTCGCGCGCAGCTCCACGGCCCTTTCTTTCCCTAGGCTAGAGCGAGTCAGGAAAGTCAGGTTGGGCGGCCAGGCTTGCCCCAGCCCGCGGGAGCGCGCGCGCCACCTCGGAGCAGAGGCGTGCGCCCCGCAGCCCCGCCCCGGGAGGCCCCGGCGGGTGTGGCCTCCGCCCAAGGCCCCGCCCCTCGAGCCCGCCGCGCGGGGCCGGAGGGGCGGGGCGAGGGGCGGGGCGAGGGAACCGGGAAGAAAGGGCAGGGCGGGTGCGCTCGCGCCCGCGTTCGGCGCTTGGGCGAGGGCGCGCCGGTGCGCGCGCAGGAGGGAGGCCAGCCGGGCGGCCGTTGTCGGCTTCGACCCGAGGGGCGGCGAAGTCACCTGCGAGCCTGTGCGCCCGTGGCGTCCGGATCGCGCCGGCCTCGCGGGGCCGCACACAGCCTGCGAGGCTGGGGCCCGGGCCCCGGCGGAGTCCGCGGCCGGAGTCGGCGACGAGGAGGAGTCGCAGCCTCGGCGCCGCCGCCCGCGCCGGGCCGGGTAGGAGCGGCGGGGGTCGGGCGGGGCGCGCGGGCCGGGCGGCGGCGGGCCGCGGCGCAGGGAGGAAAGTTTGCGGGCGCCTGCTCCCGCGGGCCCCGGCCGGCCGCGGCGCGGGGAGGTGTCGGCGCGGGCGGCGGCGGCCGACGCCATGTTGGGGTCCGCGGGGAACGGGGCGCTCCCGGGCGGCTCCCCGCCGGGCTGGCTGGCGCTCGGGCTGGAACCGCCTGGGTCCCGCCGCGCCCGAACGCGGGACGCCGGCCCGAGGGCCGGGACCCCGCACGGCGGCCGGGGACGGGACCCGCGACGCGCCCCGAGTTGTGGGGCGCCAGCTCTCGGGCCCCCAGATCGTGCGTCCTGGAAACTTTGCAGGCTCTGGGCGTCAGGGGCGCGCTGTGACTGGAGCAGCGTATTTTGTAGGACTTTATACGAAAATGGCACCGCAGAAATTGGCTCTGATGGGAGCAGCGCCTTACAAGCTATTAAAGGCAATGGCTTACAGGCTGTTTGGAGTGTTTAAAGTTTTATGATCTCTTGCTGACTTTTTTTCTTCTTCTTAATGTTGTTAAAGGCCAAGAGCTGGTTCCCGAGGTTGCTCGAGTAGCCTTTTATACTCCTAGAATATTAAAGCTGTAAGTTGTGAGTGTGCGGTGGAAATGAATAGAATTCAGGGTACACCTAAGCAGCAATTCAGACTCCTAGTATGTGAAATTGGTAAATGCCTTCTTTGTTTTTTTTTTTTTTAAGCGTTACCTAAGAGACTCATTAAAGAAACATTTAGACATGAACGTTCACTTGAGACGTTAAGGCCTATATTACTTTCTTAAGAATAAAGTTCAGTGTGTTGGCTCATGCCTGCGTTCCGAGTACTCGGCAGACTAGGGCCGGAGGATCGTTGTGAGTTCGAGGCGAGCCTGGACTACAGAGTGAGCCTGTCAGAAACAACCTCCTCCGGATCATCCAACCACACAAATAGAATAGGGTGACGTGATCTTGACGTTTCCATTTTTTTCCCCATTCTTTTTCCTTTTAGTTCCTTATTGGTGCCTGAGTTTTGGCCCTTATCACTTTCTGTACTCTTGTAGCATATGGGGCCTCGGCTTAATTCAGAATTAACAAAGGTTATTTTTAATCACCATGGGTCATAATAGCATTGGGAAGTGGATGGTATTAAGTTGCTTGTTTGGAAAGCACATGTAATCGTCCTCCCCCAGACGAAACTGATGTACAGCATGAATAAACTTAGTGAATGAATATTATTTAAAAAAATAAAGACGGCTTTAAAATTATGCTAAGTGGGCTAAAAGGCTCTTAATGCAAAAGCCCTAAAATGTGTTCCTTTTTACTCTTACTTAAAAAAAAAAAAACACTCGTGTGTGTGGGGGGGCGCATCCTCAGTGAGCTTGTGAAGCGGTCACGACCAATTACCAGTTTTCTTTTTGCCATCGCGTGAGTTGTAGGGATCCAACTTAGGTGGTTGGGCTGGGGGCCAGCGCTTTTCTTTACTTTCTGAGCCACCTTTAATTATCATTTGTGTGTGTGTGTGTGCGCGAGCGCGCCCGTGCGCAAAGTCACATGTCACAAGTGTGGAAGTCAAAAGATAAATTTTGGGAGTTGCTTCTCCCCTTCCCCCAAGGAAAGAACTTAGCCCACTGAACCATCTCCATGCCCCCCTCATTGCATACTTAATAGATAAAAGTACATTCGTCAGTTTCCTTAGTTCTTGAAACAATTATTTTACTTTGCTACATTGTCGGGTTAATTACATTGTAAATATTATTATTATTTTTTTTTTTTTACAAAAATATGTGTTAGAAAGGAGTTAGTTGACTGATGTCACAAATCTAGCAGTCAAGCTGATGGTTAAGTCTCTAATGTCACAAATCTAGCAGTCAAGCTGATCGTTAAGTCTTGTGACTCTGAAGCCATCTCATTTTATAGCATAACTCATCTCTGGGGGCCTTCTCTGCCCTCTTGCAAGGCTATGCAGTTGAATTTTTTTCTTAAAAACATTCTGTTAATGCAGGGGGGTGGGTGGGTCCTGTAATCCCAGCACGCTGAGGCAGGGTTGCAGAGTTTGTTCTGGGATGCATAGTGAGAACTTGTCTCAAACCAAACCCAAACAGAACCAAAACAACCTCTTAATCTTGTACTTTCTGAAGCCTTTCTGCCCACTTGCTGCTGGGCTTCCTCTTGCTCCCCACAACTCAGTTCCCTTCCCCCACAGGGTCCTGGAAGTACTGTGTAGGTCTATGGCTGGTCCTTGACAGTGGGCATCAAGTGAAGTCCTCTTTGCTTGTCCCTCTCCAGCAAGCTGAGAACATAGCAGATGCTCAGGAAAGGTTTGAATGGATTCCTTGTAAATGTGCTTCATGAATTTACTGGATTGTAATTTCTGTGGGACAGTTGTTAAACTCTGTTGTCTTTCTGCATCGTACTGTCAACTCCATGTAGTCCACAGATTATGTGGTCAGATTCTTCCTTTCTAGTGTTGCCTTTTTAAAAAATACTTTGGTAACTGAATGTTGGTGGGGATACAGACTTGAATATTTATCTATGAAATTTCCAGTCGGATAATGACTGACATGTCTGTAATTTTTGTGATGAGTGCAGACAGGCTGTAGATGAACTTTGAAAGGATGACATCACTGCTTTAAAGTGTGACTGAATAGTTTGCCCTTAATAGAAACATTAATGCCTGGAAAATGAGAAGGTTGTGTTTGTGTATATACACCATTCAATTAAACAACACATTTTGTTGTGGCTTTGTCATAATTGTCTTAGAATTACGACGATTCAGAGGCAGTGATCATTGAATATAATCTGCTTTTCTATTGATAGTTATCTTTGAGACTCAACTTTGCATACAAGCTCTTCGCTTGTGTAACAATCCTCAGGTTGATGTATAAATAAGAATGTTTCCTAAGTGTGCCTTTGCAAAACTTTTCTAGGTTAAGGTGTTTTATAATTTTGTAAGACTGCAAATTTTTGGATTAATTTCTTGTCCTCACCTAAGATAAGTCTTTTTTTTTTTTGGGGGGGGGGTCTATTTATTTTTTGAAGCAGGGTAGCCTAGGCTGGCCTTCAGCACCATATGTAGTTAAGGATAACCTTAACTCCTTAATTCCTCTCTACTGTACCTAATTTATTTATTTAATTTTTTGTTGGTGGCAGTTTCTTTTTTCGAGAGCTCAGGCTGACCTCAAACATTTGAGGCCTCAGTGTATAGTGTGCACGATGTTAGGAGGGCCTGGAAGGAAAATGAAGGCATTTTAATAATTGCTATGAGCACACTAGAAAAAAAGCAACTGAAATGAAGGCAGTGCAGACTGGACGGATAACTCGAGTCCTGGCCTTTGCTCCTTATGAGCTAGGTTCCTAAACAAGTCACTTCATTCTCTGAGCTCCACTGGAGCCATTTGTGAAGTGGACACAGCCGTTTGCTTCAAAAGGTGGCGAGGGGTCTGAGTCCTTTGTGTAAATGGGGCACACAGCAGTATCTCAGTTTACTGGGTTTTCCACTTAGCACGCACCTCCTCTGTGGACGACTACTGAATCCCCTGTGTTCTGGAACCTGCACATTCTGACTTTTCTGTTTGACAAGTGGACTCCCTGAAGGACTTGGAGATAAGTGAGCCAAATGGGTTTCTTCCTCCTGCAACACTTAACAGACCTCTGCAGGGTTCGGCTCAGCTTTCAGTCTTAACTCATTCATCCATGAATTCAGTCAGTTCCTGAATTGTAGCTTTTCAGCCCCTGCTCTCCTTTGCTTCATTGTTTTTGTTTGTGCTCGCCATTGTTTTTATGCCTTTGTTACCCTTTACAAATGTTTCTTTCCATTAGCATGTCTTAATTACACACATTGGGTTTCACTGTGATGCTATTAGTCGTGTATGTGATGTATTTTGCTTTGATTACCTTACCTTTTTTTTCTGTAATACTCTTCTGCTTTCTTTGCCTTCAAGTCTGTGCCTTCCTATTCACTTCATCCTGTGTGCTGTTTTTGTACATTATTATTATTTTCCTATTTTAAAAAAAACCAAAACAAAACCCGTGGTCCCCATTGCCTGTATATTCAAATCTGAATTCCCCAGCCTTACGCTCTCTGGTTTTGTCTGATTTTTTTAAACTTTATTTTTAATTATGTGTATTTATGCTTATCTGTGTGTGGGTATGTGCATATGAGAGCAGGTGCCCGTGGAGGCCAGAAGAGGTTGTGGGGTCCCTGAGCTGGAGTTATAAAAGGTGGCTGTGAACCGCCTAATACCCTTGCCGAGAACTGAATCTACAAGAGTAGATTTCACATAGCTCGGCAGTCCCCTCACTATGTAGCTGAGGATAACCTTGAACTTTTGATCCTCCTGCCTCTACTTCCCCAAATGCTGGCATTATGGGCTTGTGCCATTACACCTAGCTTTAGTCTGATGCTTTCTTTCGAAGTTCATCACCTATTTATTTTACCAAAATTAATACTCTTGCTACAGCAAGATGATTAAACAGGTGAATGCTATTACTGTTGGGCCTGATGATCCATGTTTGATCCCTGAAACCCCCTTGGTGGAAGGAAACACTTTCTGCAAATTGTTCTCTGATCTGTGTTTGGTTGCCCTACTACTCATGGGACCAAGCATGAGCACGCGCGCGCGCACACACGCACACACGCACACACGTAAAAAATATTTTTAAATTAGTACTCCACCACTGTCCTTTCTGCTTGCTTTCCTTCTCACAGCCTGGGCCTGCTGTCTCTTTTTCTAGGGTGGACATATATGCCATTACCTGCCCTTCCAAACAGTTTACCCTACTTTTTGAAGAATGATTTTAAATTTTGAAATTATAGTTCCATCATTTCCTCCCTTCCCTCCTTCACACCACCCTTGTCCCCAAATTTGTGGCCTCTTTTTCTTTGTTACATATATACGTGTGTGTGTGTGTGTGTGTGTGTGTGTGTGTGTGTGTGTGTGTGTTCCTGACTATATATGAGTGGAACTTGCTCGGCCTGA